AAACAATAAAGAACCTGTCATAAAATAACATGTTTTTATGGTAGGCTGCCAGAAAACCAAGCTTTGCAGGGGGATAAATGGCACCATCTTAAAATATGGGCACAAAGGAGAATAGAAAATATGGAATTTATTGCTTTAAAATCAAACTAACAATGTATTATAGCAGTACACTGGGAAAAAATATCAAATACTCGAGCACACTAAATAACCATGAATGATGAGAAGGTGTTTGAATCTAAACCATGAGAGAAGCTATATTGAAAGTCTTATGAAAACCTTGAAATTGCTTTCCTTTTCCAATTTAGACAAAGGAAAGAGACAAAAAGATAGACTAGATTGGGGAAAAGCACAAACAAGTACAGCATAAAGAAGTCTTTCAATATTAGTGTTCCATCAAATGCTGTGTTCAGACGCATATTTTTTAATCATACAGTTCCTCAGGCTACCATTTTATACCTTAAACGGGAAGTTTATGTTATTTATTTACTCAAGATACACAAGTCTTGATCTCGAAGAATAAGTATTTAACTAATATAAATGCCTCGGATTAGAATTAATCTAATTTAATTTTAAAAAAACAGAACAATGTATTGTTCTGACTATTTTTACATTATTGACACCTTTTATTTTCATTTAAAATTTCTCACACAGTGATAGTGAATATTTCCAGTCTCCAAACTGATAGAAGGGTTGCTCTATAAGTATCTTCTTCCTTCCACAATAACTAAAGCCCACAACTCATGGATTTCTAAGAGATAGGCAGGTACTGTAGGCCTTCCGTAATTGCCCACAAATTCACATCTCAACCAGATGGATGAGATGACAGACAATAAAATGAAAACAAAGACATATGGACAACTGTGGTCATTAAGGCTTTATCTGGAAACGTGTATGAGAATTTGACTATTATTATATATGCATATGTATATACAGACAGACATATATACATATATAGCACTATAGCACTGCCGTCTCATTGTTCATAAATTTGCTCAAGTGGGAACCAGTAACATCTCCATTTGTCCCTGGCACATGTTAGTGTAGCCCAATGGTGCCTGCTCACTCCAGGAACACAAAGTGAGACTTGTTGTTACTGTTTTTGGCATACTGAAAACACCATGGGGAGCTTGCCAGGCTCTGCCATATGGGTGGGATACTCTAAGTAGCTAGCTTGCTGGGCTCTCTGAGAGGGACAGAGGAATTGAGCCCTGGTCAGCAGCATGCAAGGCAAATGCCCTACCAGTTGTGCTATCACTCCAGCCTATAAATATATATATATATATATATATATATATATGCTAAAACTTGAAACAGAGATAGTTGATAAAGATGAGAATGCCCAAATTGGGGCAACTATGTCTAGAACACTTGTCTTTAATTCTTCTTACTCATTCCTCACAGACATAAGATCCTTTAAGAAACACCCCTGAACTCCACTCTCAAATCTCATTGCCCTGATCTGAGGAGGAGCTTTCTCCATGTGTTACCAGCCACTGCCATGGTCCTTGTCATGGTCTATTGTCCTTATTGAAATTCTCGACCCACAAAAGTCTCAAGAAGACAAGCTTCGTGATTTCACTCTGCAAATCCAGAATCCAAGTACAATGAAAACTAATAAATTAATAAACATTCAGAATTAATGTTTGGGGGTGGGACATGTTCTATACTGTACCATTTTCCATCCTTAAAAATAATTTTTTGCTGTCCTACAAAATAAGTTCTAAAAATGAACTCCAGAATTAAAATGATGGAATGCCTTCTAAAGAAAGCTATGTGAGTGTGTCCTCAAATGAAAGATAAATAGCATCACAGAGTGAAAGAAAAAAAGGTAAATGAGAAATTGCATTCCTAACAGTTTTCTACAAGTCAAGAAATCTCCCTGAGGTAATTTTGGAGAATCCTACTATCTTTGAAAATTCTTGCAAAGATGAAATAAGTTAATGGGAATAAAAGCATCTTGGAAACTTTAAATTAGTATATTAAGCATATGTAGATGCTGAAACAAAAGCTAAAGTGGGTTTTCTTTTATTTACACAGGGTGAAAATTGTGAACTACATTTTAATAACAAGTTTTAATTTGACGTTATCATTGTCACTTTTGAATGCAAGTAGCATTTGGGTGGAGGGCAAGGTCTATGACTTTGATCCATTTTAGTAATGTCACCACCACCATATTATCAAATGAAAATTAATAAAAATTTAGGCTCATCTTTCTTTTAAATTTCTTCATGGAGATGTCAGAATTCTGTACAAAAGATAAAAATATTCATGCATGTTTTTAAAAATATTCATGTCTGCTTTTAAAACTTTAAAACATTGATGTAATGGCTACCAAGTTCCTTGGGTAACCAGAGGTAAAATCTAGCACCATCTGCTAATTCTTTATTTCTGCATGTGGGTAGAAGATAACTGATCCTAACTTGTCTCCATGGTGAGGTAACACTACACTTGACAGTAAACCTACAAACAGTTACATCACTGATATAATAAGATATGATCTGGTATAATTTGGAATGTCATAAAATATAATGAAATAATGTTGGTAGTAGTTGAACACTCTGGTAACCTATGTAAAAGCATCCTAATATCTAGAATTTAGAATTATAATTGCTAGGAATGTTTTACAAAACTGATAAATCAATAAATAATTTTGTAATTTATTGATTAATATTCAATTGGCATTCAATTCTATCAAGTACTTGATTGATATTCATCACACTGCAGAAAGTCCACTAAGGTTTTCTCCCCTTTAATCATGGCCCAGAAATGATACCAATCATATTGCTGATGCTCAATGTTGTCTGAAAACCATCCCAATGCCATTGCTGCAAAAAATTTTAAGATGGCACAGCAGTGGTCCCATTGGCTTTCTAACCCAGCCCCTTGAGGTGTGATAACTCATTAGTTGAAGAAATACTTTCTCAAGTGTCTACAAGCCAGAGCAGCAATGTGGCAGTTACAAATTGCTTCCTGTCCATCACAGAATATAGAAATTTCACACTACCCTTCACACTAATCACAATTCTTCCCTTGAAAACAAGTTATTTGAACAATTCCATTACTGAAATGCTGGATAACCTTTTCTTTTCCTTTGGAAAACTGCACAGAAACAATTCAAAATCATTGTATCCTCCTGCTACACTCCATGATATGAGTATGTGACTAGAATTTAAGAGCTCCATACAAGAGAGGAAGATATGTTAGTTTCAATATTTTATTTATTGAACTCTAAATTCTTTTGTTCCCCACCCCCATCACCAAAGAACACTCTTTCTCTATGGTACATATTTAAAATTCCTGTCATAGCAATTAAAATGTATTTTAAAGGATTATTCAATAAGGGTTTAACTATTCAAAATAGAACTATATGACACTGGTTAGTTCAATTGTTATCATTATATAATTCCTTACCTCTCTACCCAGGTATTTCTAAATTTGTGAACAAACCTCGAATATCCTTTATTTTTTACATGCAAGACACAAACACACACATTGTATTTTTTACATGCAAGACACAAACACACACATTGTCACATGCACATTTCATCCTAACCAACCAGGCTCCAGGCTTTTGAATGTAGCCCATTTATTTTCTACTTGTTTTTCCCTTAATGTTTTTCAATCAGGTAGAAATCAATTTGTTTCACTGGGAAGATAATGCAACGGTCAGGAGTACATGTCTTGTGTGCCTAATAACCCAAGTTCAAAGCCTGGCACCACCATTTGCCCATGAGGCACTGTTGGGTGTGGCCCTAGGTCCTTGAGTACCACTGAAGTTGCCCTTAATGGTCCATAGCACCCTCCCACCCCCACTCACATTGAGCATTGAACCTTCTGATGCAATAGGTCAATTAACAGTAGGAGTAACTTCCAAGATCCACCATCACTGCTTAAAAGTTCCTCAAGATACACACACGCACACACACACACACACACACACACACACATTCTCACTTCTTTTGCCAATTTAAGTCCTACCTTTTCAAGGTTCATTGTTCCTTAGAAGTATGGAATTCTTGACATGCTATTCTTAACTGAATCTTTAGTCCCAACTTCTGAAATATTCACTGTCCTGTCCTCCCGTTGTTCATCGATTTGCTCGAGCGGGCCCAGTAACGTCTCCATTGGAGGCTTTGTTGTTACTGTGTTTGGCATATCGAATACATCACGGGTAGCTTGCCAGGCTCTGCCGTGCAGGCGAGATACTCTCGGTAGCTTGCCGGGCTCTCCGAGAGGGGCGGAGGAATCGAACTCGGGTCGGCCATGTTGGCTGCGTGCAAGGCAAACGCCTTATCGCTGTGCTATCGCTCCAGCCCCTCTGAAATACCATTAGTTATTTGTCCTCAATATCGACACACCAGTATAGAGTTTTATAAGTTGCCTTAGAAGAATTTTAAGTACATCAGATGGGCATGAGTAACTTCCGAGCATGCTTGTACATTCTTCAAGGTCACTTAATCACTTATCACTTAACTTCCCGTTAATCGTCGATTTGCTTGAGCGGGCGCCAGTAATGTCTCCATTTGTCCCTGTCGCGTGCTAGTGTAGCCCAATGGCATCTATTCTTCAAGATCAGATGCTATTTATTTAACTCCTCTGACTTCCCGTTCATCTGGTAAATAGTCTGACCCAACTAGACACTCAAGGCATTGAAATTAAGCATAATTATCACTTTTGTCTGGGTCATACCCAGTGATGTCCAGGACTTAGTCCTGACTTTTTACTCAAATATCTCTCCTGGTGGTGCTTAGGAAGGCTAGGTATGATGCTGAGGATTAAATTGGGATCAACTGTTTGCAAGACAAGTGCCTTAATCCCTATAATATCTGGCCCACCAAAAGAATTTTTTTAAATGTATTAAAATATTGAATAAGTTTTAAAAAATGAATAACTATTCATTGCTCAAGATATTTAGCTGATGATGAAAGATATTTAAGGTGTTAATTTTTAGTAATCTGACTTTTGTCTTAATTAACCATGATACATGCTTTTATACTTACCGGAACAGAAACTTGAGGATTTTCCACAAGTTTTCCAAGCACAGCAAAGCCATCAAAATCTATTTTGCCTCTTGGCTTTATAGGTAAGGATTCAATTCTCTTGCAGTCAACAAATAGAGTAGCACTACTCCTTTCCACACCAATCATGATCTTATGCCACTGAGAATCAAACAAGGAGGGAAATTTTGAAAAGGCTGCGGTTTGAAGACTCCCATCCAATCCCTTGTATGAAAATGCAACAGATTTTGTTTGGCCATTAATCTTCACGCCAACTTGCTCCTTCCCAAAGGAATCCTGAATCTGCCAAATGTTCCAGTTCTTTTCAAGTGTGCTTCCTGTCATCCGAAAAGTGGTTAAAAAGGAGTATTCTTCAGGCAGTCCGTTGGGATATAAATGCCTAAGTAAAAAAATTTTAAAGTAAATATAAATCTGTGTCCTCGTTTATTATCATGCTTCCATATTAAGTTATTTTCAGTTTCTGACCTACAGAAAAGCTACAGTGTGAAAACTATGTGCTATTTGTCCTTTCATGACTGTTCGTAAAGACCTTCACAATTTAATCATTCATGTACATTAATGACCCATCTTAATACACACTAATTTAAAACCCTCTTTCCATAGTTGACAGTTACGGTTTGCAATCCTAAACCTAACAGTATTACTATTCATGCTACCTAAAAGGCTACTGTTCAGTAACTTCATCCCAGCCAAAAAACACATTCTTGCAAAGTTCTTGGCAACATTTCCTCCACAAATGAAAGAGGAGATGATTCAGAATCCAAATCGGTTCTGCTAGCTTAACTATTTAATTAAAACTGCTTTAAAATTTTTGATTTTAACGTAACATGTTGTTAGGTCTGCTGTTTCTATATTTGCTTGATTTCTGCCCTTCGCAATTATACCCAATCCACAGAAACATTTTCAGAACCAGTAGTTACAAAGTTGTGGAAGCTTTCACAGATGTTTATCTTTTCGAAAGCATGATCACACTGGTAAAGAAGCAGCTGGTTGCTTCTCATTAGATGTCTGACAAGGGAGAGGTAACCACTTTTTTCTTTCTTCTCCAACCCAGGTGTTTTTCTACCAGTCTACTAACTGTGTCATTGCTACTTCCTTTATTGCTTAAAATGCAGCATGAGACCAGCAGTTTTCCTGTCATCTCCAGCGTAGGTTGTTCCTATGATCTGGAATTGTGTCAACTACCTGAGTCCACTTCCACTGAATTCATTCTGCTAAAAGCAGAAAACTAGACCTCCCCCACCCCAATGAGACCCCGAGTTACCGCCCACGAATGGTCCCTGCAGCTACTGATCAAGCTGCTTAAGAGCCATGAACCGAGAGACACACAAGTGAAACTCGGAACCCAGCGGCTTTTGGCAGAAATGTGCCTGGACTTCACATTAGGTTGCTGGTGCAGGGCCATCCCAGGTGGGAAAATGTGCTGGCCCTCTGCCTATTCCCCCTGGCAGCTTGGTGACCTCCATCTTCCAGAGGTCATTGGACAGTCAGATATGGGCCACCAAAGATAAGACACGTAGGGCCTCATGGGATGGGGTTGGTGCCAGCCCTTAACCTCCCTGGCCCCAACAAGACCCCAAGTCGCCATCCACAAACGGTCCCTCCGGCTACTGATCAAGCTGCTTAACAGTCATGATCCCAAAGAAACACAAGCGAAACTGAGAACCCAGTGACTTCTGGCAGGAATCCCTCCAGATCTAATTATTAAGATTTCAGAATTCCAGACATCATATAGTAGTCATAATCAGCAATAGAAAACAAATTGTCTAATATTGGCTTTTTGGCTGGTCTGAGTGTTGGGGGGAAATCCCAAATAATAATGGTGGGTCTGTTGTCAAAATATTGAATGTAACCAAATTAGAGAGAGAATAATGTGTAAATCATCTGCCCCACAGGTAGGGGAAAGGGGTGTGGTGGTGGGGGGGATACTGGGTTTTTTGGTGGTGGAAAATGTACACTGGTGAAGGGACAGATGTTTTATCATTGTATGACCGAGACTTAAACCTGAAAGTTTTGTAACTGTTTTCACAGTGATTCAATAAATGAATTTATAAATAAATAAATTTAAAAAAAGAAGACTGAACTCTAAGGAAATCAGGACATATTAAGCAAAAACATATGGCAGGAGCTCAAAGGTTATCTTACTCCTTTGCCTAATCACAGTGAAAATCCTTATCAAGTAAGAATGGATCACTTGTGGGAGAATTGGTGTTAGAACACTGCATGCCTGAAACAACTCTGTTAGAAGCACTTATAAATCACGGTATCCTAATAAAAATTTTAAAATATAAATAAAATAGAAAAACAAAACTAGATGGCAATGAATTTCGTTTGCTAAATAACACTTGATGTTTCTGGGAACTGTTGTAGATCAGCACCAAATAAGCTTACTCCAAGTCAAACTTCTATTATTTATCTCCGTTCATGTGAAGAAGAAAAGAAAATCAAGAAAAATATCTAAAGGGATACTGAATGAATTGGCTATGAGCAAAACTGAATAGCATAAATTTATTCCATTGACATTGTCAATTGCATTAAGATACATGGAGACCAAAATCTCTAAACTAAAAATTTCTCAATAAGCAAAACTACTTAAGTTGCTAGAGCTGGAGCAACAGCATAGCAGGTAGGGCGTTTGCCTTGGGTTCGGTTCCTCCACCCCTCTTGGAGAGCCTGGCAAGCTACCGAGAGTATACTGCCCGCACAGCAAAGCCTGGCAAGCTCCTTATGGCATATTCAAATACGCAAAAAACAGTAACAACAAATCTCAAAATGGAGATGTTACTGGTGCCCGCTTGAGCAAATCAATGAACAACGGGAGGACAGACAGGACAGACAGACAGGACTTAAATTGCTAATATTTTCTATATTCTGGCCTGAACCATAAGCCATATCATTTCTTATAATAAATATGTAAAAATTTTCCTGTGTACTCTTTTATTATTAAATACTTCTTTTCTAATATGACTTTGGGTTTTATTTATAAGTGGGTGAATTCCTTTGTCACTATGCATACTGGTGAAAATTATTGCTGAAAAGCTTTCAATTCATATATTATTGCTGAAAAGCTTTCAATTCACTAAGATGTCTTTTCTATATTCCAAACATATAGGCAGTTTTAACTTGTAAATTTAAATAATTAAGTTTGAAATGAAAAAGGAAAAAGTATACACAAGAACAAGAATTTCTTTCTCAGACTAGAGATAACTACAACATATATTTAAATATTTGTTTATAATTATTCTTTTTTTATCACCTTTCCTTTGACTTTAGATTTTCTGAAATGTATCAAACTAAGATTCACCTGTGTCAATATAGTGTATTGCCTATTTTATAATTATAAAGCCCTATGGAAGTTTTTGTATCTCATTTAACTGAAATCAATTAATTTAAAATTGCACACAAGTTTTAAAAGGCCAGAGAGATAGTATAGGAGTTAAAGCTCTTGACTTAACACACTGGCCATCCCCGTTCTAATCCAGGTGTTATGGTCCCATATGGTCCCGTTCTAATCCAGGACATATGGGTCCCCAAACACTGTCAAGAGTAATCCCTGAGCACTGCTAGATGTGTCAAAAAATTGTAAAACGTTATACTCAATGTTGAAACTTGACAAGTCAATTACAAATGTCAATTACAAATATCTACACTGGGTACCAGAGATACAGACAGTACAGCAGGTAGGTGCTTGCCTTGCTGTGGCGAACTCGGGTTTGATCCCTGGCATCACCCTGAGCTCCAGCAGGAGTGATGCCTGAGTTCTGAGCCAGGTGTAAGCCCTAGAACTGCAGGTGTAGTCAAAAAATAAATTTAAAACGTTCTTTGCAGTACTTTTTAGATTAATGATCTGGATTTATATAGCTGCTTAAAGGACAAGAAATACTTGTTCAAGATAAGTATTACTCAGGTATGAGGATATTATAGAAGGACAATAAATCCTAAAGCCTGTTTTTTCCCCTTCCTTAATGCAATATTTTCTATCCAGTATTTGTAGTATACTTAAATAAGCTATTGTAGTTATTAATATACTTGTTTATAGCTATACTGAGCAAGGCTACAGAATTTCATCATCAGTCCTTAGGGGAAAAAAACCCTATTTTTCATTTGTGCTTCATCCTATCTTTACCTCTAAGTAAATGACTAAATACATTATGTCGAAGACAGAATAGTACATCAAGTCCCATTCCTCTCTGACTTGGTTATATAGTGACAGAAACTTCAAGTTTAGGATGAAAGCTATGGGTGCTAAAAAATCAATTCATAATTTAACACAGTTAAACCAAGGGTTTTTATATCTATTTTTCCATATATATAAAGATTGTATGTTTGTATTGAAATAAAATCAATGTTATCATGCTACTGGTCTTTCAAACTGGGGTAATATAGTAAACCAATACGGTAAAAGGAGAAAATTCATTTATGTACTTAAAAAGTTAAGAAAATACTTATGTATTTATATAAATCTAAGATCATTTAAAAGTCCTCTAAAGTCTATTTTATATAATAGTCAGTCTCATTTCCTTTTCTGCACACCTAAGATTCTGTTCTTGCAAATACGGTATGCATAGTGATAAGTAAACTTGACAGCATGCATAATTTAAAAGAAGCTGGATCTATAAATGATTTATTTCATTATGTTACAATCTGCACAGAGTACCTTTAAAAAAGACCCATAAGGGTTTGAATAAAAGATAAGAAGTCTTTGGACCTTGAAACATTTGTTTTTATGACCTTAGCCCAAAGAAAAGTTAAGAATGTGTATGTTATACCAATATACACGTGTTTGTAAGCAAGAGTTGAAAACATTTTGTATAAAATAAATAATAACCAGCAAAAATATGTGTCAGTCTTTCTAAAATATAAACATAAATAACAAAAAATTATGATTAACATATTAGTTCTATATGCCATAATCACCTTTTTCTCCGAAGGAGAACCTATTGACTGTTTCTTTTCTCTCTCAAAGCCTTTTTTTCTTCAAGATAGAATAATCCTTTGTGAGAGAAAGAGAGAGAGAGAGAGAGAAAAAAGAGAGAGAGATGAAGAGAGGGAGGTAGAGAGAGAGTGCAAGAGAAAAGGGACATTGGTGGCAGAAAATGTACACTGGTGGAGGGACAGGTATTAGAACATTGTATGACTAAAACCCAATCATGAACAAGTTTGGAACTGTGTATCTTATGGTGATTCAATGAAATAAATACATAAATAAAAGAAAATCCCTTTATTCTAAGACTTGTTCTCTCAAAATGGTCTGGGAGCAATTCCAGTCCCTGACTTTCTTGCCATCTGTCTTTTGAATTGTATGACTTGGAGAACAACTTAAAAGAAAGAATTAACTAAAAAGAAAAGGCGACTTTGGGTATAAAGTCTCCTGTTTCTCCACTACTTACAGTAGAGAACACCACTCTCTTCCAGCCACTAGTCAAAACTTCTCTACTCTTTAACACTGACTCTTCATTATAACTCTAAGACATAATTATTACTATTACTGTTATTTTATTCTGGGTCTTTGGGCCAGACTCAATTGTGCTTCAGACTTACTCCTGGCTCTACCTTCAGCAGTCACTCTTGATGAGGCTCAGGGGAACATATGTGATATCTGGTATAGAACTTAGGTCAGCCTTGTACAAGGCAAGCAACTTACTGCTTGTACTATCTTTTGGCCTTATTACTAATTTTCACTGGAGGGTGCTGGCAAAGTTTAAGTTACAATGCCCCAGAGTATATTTTACTACCTATTGGAGACTCTCTCTGCTCTCTGTTTTTTTCTTCTACTCTATCTATATCTTTCTCCAATTAGTTACTCTCAATCCCTTCATACTTTTCCCATCTCTTAATAAAATTTGCTAGTAAAACAATAGAATCTAGTCTTTTGGGGGATAAGGAGTCAAAGAGCTAGAGAATATGGGCCATTTGACTATACAGCCTGGGGAATTTGTGATAACTCTAAAGAAAGAATCAACAAAGATGAGCTGGAAGGAGGCGGACAATTTCCGAATTTAAGAGTAAATGAGAATCGATAATTGAACCTTCAATTATAGAAGACAAAAATTACAACATCTTAACACTGATGAAGCTATTTTGTGTAATGTTAAATTATTTATTAAAGAAATGAAAATAATCTTTTTAATGCAACAAGTACCTCTGTACAGTGAAAAGAAAATATAAGAAAGTTACAAATATGACTGAATTTCCTGAGTCATATTATGAGATATAGGTTAGGATAACAGTCTGTGGAACAATTCAGTCTGGGTTTCAATCCTTCAACTTCCTCTCAAACCTGTGACTTTATGTAATGAACTAAAATTTTATGATCTCCATTTCTTCCTCTATAAAATATAGATACTATGTCCTCACGATGGTGTTGTGATGATGATGAGATATAATGTTAATAAATATAGAAAAAAATTATATTATATGGCATTACTTATTTATAAAACAATAAGTAAAGTAAGTAAAGGCCCTCTCGTTGATCGTCGATTTGCTCGAGCGGGCCCAGTAACGTCTCCATTGGAGACTTTGTTGTTACTGTGTCTGGCATATCGAATACTCTCGGTAGCTTGCCGGGCTCTCCGAGAGGGGCGGAGGAATCGAACTCGGGTCGGCCATGTTGGCCACTTGTAAGGCGAACGCCCTGCCCGCTGTGCTATCACTCCAATATCATGTCAAAACATAAATTTTATAGATGCAAACTAGTATTTTACCAGAATATTTCACTGTCACTGTCCTCCCATTCTTCATCGATTTGCTCAAGCAGGCCCAGTAACATTGTAAGACTTATTACTGTGTTTGGCATATCGAATACGTCACAGGTAGCTTGCCAGGCTTTGCTGTGAGGGCGACATACTCTCGGTAGTTTCGGGCTCTCCGAGAGGGACAGAGTTGGCCATGTTGGCCGCGTGCAAGGCAAACCCCCTACCCACTGTGTTATTGCTCCAGCTTAGAATATTTCAGTTTGGACAAATTTTTCATTGTCATAAACATGTAATTTTTGAATATTCTTTTAAAAATTTTATTTGCTCAAATATTTTTCCTAATATAGTTTTACTATTATAATCAATCATGATTTACTGTATACTAAGCTCTCTTCCTTTTCAGCCACAAAAAAATTCTACGTTTAAAATGAATTAAAGCACATAATAGTCATAACAGCTGCATAAAAGTTGATGTGAAAACTAAGCCCAGTAATTCATTCATAACAGTGGCATAGGACAACACATTTGTACACTAAAGTGATTTAGTCACAAATAAATTAAAAAGCAAATGGCTTATCTGAGATAAAGAGAAAATTGAATTTTATTATTCTTGCATATCACTACCATTGTTTCTGTCAGTACCATTTTAGTTTTCCTTTTGTTTTACTCCTGCCACTAGTCAAACATTAGATGTGGGCCTCTTTTTCAGCACCAAAACACTTAAACAGCACCAATGAAAGTTTTTTTAAGTTTTCTAGGTTCCTAGTAAAATGCATGCTCAACATCTGGCACTTCTCACAGGAGGTCTTTCACTCAAAACCAGACAAATTACAGAAAAACAGAGAACAAGCAATTAGACTATGTCAAATATTAATGTATAATTATTTCATGATTTTTCCTCCTGAAATGGACAATAAATTACATAGTGGAAAATTAAGAATATTTACACATTCAGGCACTGAAGACAGAGAAGTAGATAAACCTTTTCCTTTTTAAATAAAATATGGATCCAAGAAACATCCAACATGCAAAGTTTTTCTGATATTCTAGACTTTTTTCTATATTACAACGCATTTGAGGGCAGATAATTAGAGAGAACATTTTTTATATTACCTGGTTGGAATCCTGAAATCCACATTGTTTCCCAATTTATAAGCCACTTGTAATGAAGTTGATCCAACTACCCTTTGGATTGCCCTTCTGGATGCTGCCTTATCTACTTGGAACTGAGAAATCAGATCAAACCCTATAGAAAGGATATGCAAAAGAAAAACATTAAAGTGAGATTTGATTTATTCCTTTCCACAACCTTCTAAAATTATATATATATATATATATATATAATTTAAAAAAATTCAAAGTAGTAAACTGCTACTCACCTGGTAAGTCGTCTTGGCCTATCCTGATCTTTGGGCAAAGTTCATTTCCACCATTAGAATTTGAATTGACAGGGAACCCTGAAAAAGAGATAGTATATCATCCGACCTCTCATTCACTACTGGACTGTGAGGATATACATATAACAATAATAAAAAGAGCTAAGCAACACTTTAAGGTAAAAAAGTATACAAAAGAGCTTGTGGATAAGTAATAGATTTAGCTTTAACTCTATAACACCGTGATTATATATTATTCTCCTTCTGAGGACAAGAGAGTCATTGCATACAGTTGCTTTCATCATTGGTGATGGAAAAATTTTTCCTCTGGGGAAAGTTAGGAACCTTTTTTCCTTTTAGAAACAGAGCTGCACACTATTCTGGTGGTTTGTGCTAGAAAATATTCTTTAAGCACCACACAGTTTATAACTCCTAAGACATTCCACAGCCAGCTGTGAGTCAGTTCAATGACACTGCTCAGGAGTGCAATGCTTGGGAATCTTTGTCAAACAGAGGAGGGAGTTAGAGGAATGTTGGGAACCACTAATCCTAAATAAAATACAGAAGATGAATATCATTGAATGAATACATAATACATCCCTGACTAGAACATTGCTAGCATCCTAGTTTAAGGAAGAGTAACCAGAAAGAAAAAAAATTTCTTTAGAAGAATGAGTGATTCCTTCAACTTGATGAAAATTTCTAGGCTGCAATTAGATGCTTCTTACACAAAGGAAGGGGGTCTCAGAGTCATCACTTAGCTGCAGCGCTGTCTGATCATTTCTGTGAACAATTTTTTTGTATTTTAAAATCTAGAAACTGTGGTTCTTACTTGGTCGACGCTTAACTGTTGCAGAGGCCCATGATCCCAGGAAACTGAACACAAAGAAGAAAACTGGAATTTTCCTGAAAAAAAAAAGTAAAACGATGATCATAATAGTTCCTTCAGATTCAATGTCAATATTTATCAGTCTGTTAGACCTAGTTAATGTAGGTGATTATATCTCAATATAGTTGTTTTTTTTTATTTTGACCTTGAAATCTTATTGAAACATGTAATACATTTTCAGGGTTTCAGCCCTTTCTACTCTGAACAATCATGATGTTGCTAATTTTCAATCTCACTTTTTCATTTTCTACCCATCTCACTGTTCTTACTTCTATCTCCTTGTTTCTATTCTCTTTCATCTTTGCTTTTTCTGCTTTTCCGTGTTGAAGTCCTTCCTTATTTTTGTCTCACTGCTGTCTCATCGTTGTCACTTGCATCTGCTCTTTTCTTCACATGCTCCTCTCCCAGTCTCTGTCTCTGTCTCTGTCTCTCTGTCTCCACTTTCTCCTCTCCCCTCACTTTCCATGTTCCAATCACCGCTACCAGCACAGTCCCTCAGTCCTAAGGACCCTCAACTCTAAGTACCCTCAACTCTAAGGACGCCTCCCACCCCCTCCGACCCCAGTCCACACTTCTCAGCACTCTTTCCAGGGTCAAGATCTTACCAAGAGTTCTTCATTTTCCCATTCCGTATTGTTGCTATTTTTGTTGCTGCTGCTGCTACTGCCAACAGACCCTATGAGGAAAGAAGTTCGTTCCGCAAAGACTTCGCTATGTCACAGCAGGACTGAAGAGTTCCGGACCTAATCTTGGTCCCTCCTGCCCCTGTGAGGGCTAAAAGCAAAGGGAGTACATAGAGACATTTAGGGAGACTTGAAACCACAGTGGTGGGAAGGGGTGGAAAGAGGCAGTCCTGTTAGCCCAGGCTTAGCCAGGGGTGTGTCCCCAAAGCTAATAAGTTATACTGAAGGAGAGTTTAGCAGGGGAATATGTGCCTGAAAGAAAAAAATCAGAAATAGAGAAATTCACCAGAAATTTAAAACAACAACAAAAAAACCCCAGTCAGGCTGCTATAGGAAACAGTGGAAGCTTTTAGAACAGCTATAGGAAAACAGTGGAAGCTTTTAGAGGAACCAGGTTCCAGTAAAAAGGGGTTCACTGAATGTGGGAGCCTTAGAAGCCTTGGTATCCTGCCAACCGGGTTTGAATCTTCTACTGTTCTGAAACTTGCTATTTACATGCTTTTAGGGAAGCAAGTTATCTCTTTGAAGAACTCAATTGCCTTAACTACAAGTACTTAAAACAATTGTTATGAAAATTCAATGAGATTGCAGAGATCCTGGTTTTGAAAGACAGTTATTCTTCCCCACCATAATCATTAGAGCTAAAACTTTTTTGTATATCTCCCAGTCGAAAGAGCTTAAATTCTGGTGACAGTTAATCTTCACAACACTATCTGTCACTGTCACTGTCCGCCCCTTGTTCATCGATTTGGTCCAGTGGGCCCAGTAACGTCTCCATCGTGAGACTTGTTGTTACTGTGTTTGGCATATCCAATATGCCACGAGTAGCTTGCCAGGCTTTGCCATGCGGGCGAGATACTCTCGGTAGCTTGCTGGGCTCTCTGAGAGGGGCGGAGGAAGCGAACTCAGGTTGACCATGTTGGCTGCATGCAAGGCAAACGCCCTACCCACCGTGCTATCGCTCCAGCCCTCGCAACACTATAAGGAATATTTATTTATTTATCAATATAATTTATTTCTATTCCTTAGATGCAAAAACTAAAGAAATGAAGTAGCTTATACTTTGCACAAAGTTGCAGAACATTAGCTCCCTGTTTCATGGTTGGAAATTTTGATAAAATACTACAGCAAGTTCCTGGTTTGTTTGTTTTTTGTTTTTCAACTAAATCTGAGCAGAATATCCCAGGAAATTAGTAACATTTTACATTTCAGAAACAAGTTGTGAACAAGCTACAAAGAACACAGACCTGGGACTATAGAGATATGTGGCCAGCCTGGGTTTAAACTCTGGTACCCCGTATGGTTCTCTGAGACCATGAGGAGTGATCATTGAGCAGAGAACCAGGAGAAAACCCTGAGCACAGAGCCAGGAATGACTTCTGAGCATACAACCCAGGAATAAGTACCAGCAAGGTGCGGCTCCAAAACAAAACTAGAACACAGACCAGGGGAGAGATTTTCACCTTTACAACGTGACACATACCCACACTCTCTGCAGACCTCCTGTCCCCTGAGACAATTCAGGAGCCCTCACGAACCAGCCACATACTCAGATTGGCTACTTCTGTGTGTGGAAGCAAAAAATTGAGAGCACAGTCCAAATGCAGGGTCTTTTCAGGTTAGAAGACCCAATGATCTCAATAAGTCTGCAGTGGTTTTGCATCCTGGGAATTTCTTCAGTGTTTTATTTTACCTGATTTTTATTTAATTATTAAATAAATACATCATGCTTTTTACCTGTTAGATTTTTTTTTAAGCAATGGTTTTTTCACATACCGAACAGTGGTGGGTGCTAGTGGACAAATTGGCAGTGGTGAGATGCTGCAATTTTGTAAATCAATGCATATAATTAAACACTCTTGAGCCAGGTTACCTAAATAAAAGTAAAATAAAAATTTAAACAATGTTTTCTTTTCTGCCTCTCAGATCACTGAAGAATTTGCTCCAATAAATTATGAAAAAGGCAAACCTTTATGCATGGTGTTAAGTCAAGGGTCTAAGCCCATTTTTTGCATGTGGTTGTCCAGTTATGCCAGCACCATTTGTTAAAAGAGGCTTTCCTTGCTCCAATTCACATTTCTTGCTCCCTTATCAAAGATTAGATGTTTATACATTTGGGGTTGTGTGGAGGCATATTCCATCCTGTTCCATTGGTCTGTGGCTCTGCCTTTGTTCCAATACCATGCTGTTTTAATTGTTACTGCTTTGTAGTAGAGTTTGAGGTTGGGGAGGGTGATGACTCCCATCGTCTTTTTCCCAAGAATTGTTTTAGCTATTCGTGGGCGTTTGTTGTTCCAAATGAATTTTAGGAGTGTGTGGTCCATTTCTTTGAAGAATTTCATGGGTATCCTTATAGGGACCGCATCGATCTGTAACACCATGCACAAAAATCAGATCAAAATGGATTAAAGGTCTCAACATCAGACCAGAATCCATAAGACAGGTCAGCAAAATCCTCCCTGATATTGAGGCTAAAGGTATCTTTAAAGATGACATGCCACTGACCAAACAAGTGGAAACAGAAATAAACAAATGGGACTGTATTAAGCTAAGAAGTTTCTGCACCACAAAAGATACAGTGGCCAAAATACAAAGACAAGCTACAGAATGGTAAAGGATATTCACCCTATACCCATCTGATAAGGGGTTGATATCAAGGATATACAAAGTACTGGTTGAACTCCACAAGAAGAAAACATCCAACCCCATCAAAAAATGGGGTGACAAAGTGAACAGAAATTTTCTCAAAGAAGAAGTCTGAATGGCTAAAAGCACATGAAAAAATGCTCTACATCACTAATCATCAGGGAGATGCAGATCAAAACAACAGTGAGATATCATCTCACACCACAGAGACTGGCCCACATCCAAAGGAACAAAAGCATGGATGTGGGGAGAAAGGGACTCTCCTTCACTGCTGGATGGAATGCTGACTGGTTCAGTCCTTCTGGAAAACAGTATGAATAGCTCTCAAAAAATAAGAAATTGAGCTTCTATTTGATGCAGCTATATCACTCCTGGGAATATATCCCAGAGAGGCAAAGAGATATAGTCAAAATGACATCTGCACTTGTATGTTCATTGCTACACTGTTCACAATAGCCAAAATCTGGAAAAAACCAAGTGCCCGAGAACAGATGACTGGTTAAAGAAACTCAGGTACATCTACACACTGGAATACTATGCAGCTATTAGAAATGATGTAAAGTAAAAGTAAAGGCCCTCCTGTTGATCATCGATTTGCTCGAGCGGGCCCAGTAACGTCTCCATTGGAGACTTTGTTGTTACTGTGTCTGGCATATCGAATACTCTTGGTGGCTTGCCGGGCTCTCCGAGAGGGGCGGAGGAATCGAACTCGGGTCGGCCATGTTGGCTGCATGCAAGGCAAACGCCCTACCTGAACGCGCCCAATCTCGTCTGATTAGAAATGATGAAGTCATGAAATTTGCGAACAAGTGGTTCTACATGGAAAGTATTTGCTAAGTGAAATGAGTCAGAAAGAGAGGAACAGACATAGAAAGTCTGCAATCATCTGGGGAATATAAAGTAACAGAATGGGAGACAAACACCCAAGAATAGTTGAGATAAGTAACAGGAGGTCTGCTCCGCAGCTTGGAAGCTGGCAGCAAATGCTGGGGGGAAAAACAGCTGAGTTAGAGAAGGGAACACCAAGTAAAGTGTGTTTGGAGGACTCGCTCAGGATGCGAGATTCGTGCTGAATGTAGACTATAGACTGAACAGGATGGCCACTCAATACCTCTATTGCAAACCACAACACCCTAGAGGAAAGAGAGAGCAAAAGGGAATGCCCGGCCACAGAGGTGGGGTGAGGTTGGGGGTGATGGGATCGGGGTGGTAGGAGGGCTACTGGGTTTATTGGTGGTGGAGAATGGGCACTGGTGAAGGGATGGGTACTCGATCATTGTTATTTACTATGTTATTTAGTCCCTACTGTTTTCCTTCTTATTTATTTGGGGGGCGGGCACCAGAAATTTTGATCTTGGCAACTAGGTGATAGTACAAGGCAAGAACCCCAGGATGTAATTCTGCTCTAGCCCTGTAGTTTTGGGGATACCCCCAGCACGTGCTGGGACCCTCCAGGACTGCCCTCAGCAGGAATGAGGAAACATTTTGCAGAAGAACCTAAGTAGGGGAGTTGTTTCTTTTCCTTTTATATTCATAATCTACTTTCCTGAAGGAGTTCTGGTCCGCTGAGAGAGGAATGACCTTGTGCCAGTGTCACTGTAATCTTTCTTAAGGCCCTGTTACTCTTCCCCCAGGGTACCCATTTTTGCCTAATCGTTGAATTTCAGATGACCTATCCTAGCTTATCCTTGCCAGGTGACCTTGGTTTATTTAACTGGAGCTATTTATTAACCCAAAGAACTGGCTCTATTGGAAGGACTCCCTGGAGAAATTGTTCAGCTGTGGACATTAATATCCTGATATAACACCTCCTGCCCCCTCCCAATCTTCACAGGGAAAGGATATTCTTCATTCTCAATATAGATTCTCTGATATCATTTCCTCTGAGAAAAAGCAACTTTTTCTATACAACTGTTAGAGAAATCTTTTCATTACATGTTGTAGAGACCCCCCAACGTTTGTATGGTTAGAATCTTAAGGCAAGTGAAGTGAACCACTTAATGACAGAATAAATTTAGGGCTTTGGTTTGTTTATAAGTGGTTTGTCTTTTTTATAGTTTACTAGTTTTATTTGAGATGATAAAAAAAATAAGGAACAGCTCTATTAAGGAAGAATGTAAATCCAGAGAAAACAAGATTATCTCTTCAATGTTTGAGAACAGTTTATTTCTTCCTTCCATTTTACATTAAAACTATATCCCTTCCCCACATGAGAGACTCACAGAAAGTAGTGCAAACCCCATACTTCTCTGGTGTCGCTCAAGAGACATGCTTTCAAACCATGGACACACAAGCCTTGTCATAAATAGCACT